AACTGAGCATCAGAAAGGGGATTTAAGTTACTTTGAACCTGGCATGGTTGTTGGTGCCAGACGGCCTGGTCTGAGTATTTAAAAAAAAACTGCTGATCTACTGAGATTTTTACAAAAAACTACCTCTAGGGTTTATAGGGAACGGTTGCAAAAAGAAAAAATATCCATTTAGCGGCAGTTGTGTGGACGAAAATGCCTTGTTGATGTCAGAGGAGAATGGGCAGACTGGTTGCTGCGACATTCAGATGGTAGGCTCAGAATTTGGTGTAAACAACATGAACGCATGGATCCATCCTGCTTTGTATCAAGGGTTCAGGCTGGTGGTGGTGGTGGTGTAATGGTGTGGGGGGGATATTTTCTTGGCACTAGAAAGGTGTACCTAATAAAGTGGCAGGTGAGTGTATATGGAAATAATAGATCATATCATTTAAGGGATGTCAAATGTATGTAATGGAGGAGAGCCTCTTCTAAACACAAGAAAACACAACTTTCACTAAAAGCAAAAAAAACTGTTAATTTTGTAAAGATCTACATACACTGGTGGTGCCTTATGCTACCTAATACTTTCTTTCATTGTATACATCAGGGGTCCGCAAACTATGGCCCGCGGGCCACATGCGGCCCGCCGAGCACATTCATCTGGCCCACCGGCAGGGGACACTAAGTACAGGGGTGGGCAGGGGGCTGCTGTCTCTTACCTGGTTCCGGTCCCAGTCCCACGACGATCCAGTCCAGGATGCGTAGCTCCTTCACTCCGGCCGCTCTCTCACTCGATGTTCGCGCTGCCGCTCGGCTCCGCCTCCTCACCGGTGATTGGGCGTCAGTACTGTAGCTCAGGAAAGGCATACAGGCGGCCAATCACCGGTGAGGAGGCGGAGCCGAGCGGCCCTCGTGAAAATCAAGGGAGACCAATGTTGGGGCACTATTCCTCCCCCCCCACTGACACCAACGGTGGAGCACTATTCCACCACCCCCCCCCCACTGGCACCAATGACGTACTATTCCTCCCACTGACACCAATGATGGGGTACTATTCCTCCAACTGACACCAATGATGGGACACTATTCCTCACACTGACACCAATGATGGGGCACTATTCCTCCCAATGACACCAATGATGGGGCACTATTCCTCCCACTGACACCAATGATGGGGCACTATTCCTCCCCCCACTGACACCAATGATGGGGCACTATTCCTCCCCCCCCCCCCCCCACTGGCATACCAATGACGGGACACTATTCCTCCCCCCACTGACACCAATGATGGGGTACTATTCCTCCCCCCCCCCCACTGGCACCAATGATGGTACACTATTCCTCCCACTGACACCAATGATGGGGCACTATTCCTCCCACTGACACCAATGATGGGGCACTATTCCTCACACTGACACCAATGATGGGGCACTATTCCTCCCAATGACACCAATGATGGGGCATATTCCTCCCAATGACACCAATGATGGGCACTATTCCTCCCAATGACACCAATGATGGGGCACTATTCTCCCAACTGACACCAATGATGGGGTACTATTTCTCCAACTGACACCAATGATGGGGCACACTATTCCCCCAACTGACACCAATGATGGGACACTATTCCTCCCACTGACACCAATGATGGGACACTATTCCTCCCACTGACACCAATGATGGGACACTATTCCTCCCACTGACACCAATGATGGGACACTATTTCGCTCCATAAGACACACTTGGGGGGGAAATGTCTGTGCGTCTTATTGAGCGGCCGGCCCAGTATTCCCGCCGCCATTGTATGTCCACAGTCTCTGAACAAATGCAGACACAGTACAGGAGATGACCATAGTTTTTTTTTTTTTAAAACTATAGTCCAGCCCTCCAACGGTCTGAGGGACAGTGAACTGGCCCCCTGTTTAAAAAGTTTGAGGACCCCTGGTATACCTGCTACAAAATGTTAGTTGCAGGTTACAAAATCACAAGCAAGGGTTATTTTTTGTATCTGTGGCCTTATTACATTTTAAAAGATGAAACCTATATTTTTATAATACTTTAAAGCTGACATTAGCCATCTGTTAAATGATAACATGTTCTCTAGCATGTTTTACACTGTGCAAACTTCAGAACTTGGATAAAGGCTTGAAGCTTCCAGTACATTTGAATAATTGAGAGAACAGTCACTGTTCAAGTAGCAATTATAGAGATAAAAGGAAAAAGTAACTCTAAAGCAAGCCATAAATTATGCAATTTTTTATCCTTCCACCGAAAGAAAATTGCTTGATTTCCCCACCAACACAGACAGCGTTAATGGGGGAATCCCTCCCGCAGCTCTACTGTGTTCTGCTCGCAGGGAGCTTTCTTCCAACAGAACACGATTAGTGTTGCCAGTTATAGCCGGTGGCACCAATTGTTGGGGGGAAAACCCAACAGCCTAGTTGTATACAAGTCAATTGATAAATCGACTTGTGCACAATTAGGGTGCCCATACATGGATTGAAATGTGTCTGGTTCCTGCTGAACCGGACGAATTATGATCCATGTATGGCTGACTTAACTATTCTTAATAATGCAACACTGAATGAAAGATGGGCAGATCTTTTATGGAAAACAAGGGCAGTCTGTGGATCCTGGGGACCCCTCATGAGTGAGTGTGTGCTTTCATCATTCTACATTAAAATGTTTATATTGCCTATCCGCAGCAAGTGATGTTCAGATTAACTGTGCTGCCCTTAATGTGAGCCTTGCCAGTATTATATATCCCCTGCTACCCTCTATTTAGGTATGATGAATTCAGTTTATGTCAAATAAAGCAGAGTACAGCCTATAACAGACTTCACTGGGGGGTACTCCACTTTATAGTGGACCTCAATCCAAAAACATTTAAAGATTAACCATTTAAAGGTAAAAAAAAAAAAAAAAACTTTGGTTACATATTGCTTCCTCTGAGTCTCAACTGGAGGCTGCAGCAGTGGGAACATGTTAAACATGTTCCACCCTAAAAACAGGTAGAACATATAACATGTTCCCAAAGGTGAACCTATACTTTAAAAGGAACCCCTAGCAAACTCTGAAGGAAATTGTGTTTGAGAAAGGCAGAAATACAGAATACATTCCAATGATGGTAAAGAAAGTTCAGGCCTTGTTGGGTTGATACAGGTATTACTGTTAAATTTCTAGTCAGCTGTATACAAAGGACCTAGGTTGTAGGTGATTTTCACTGTCACATCCTCCTCCTCCCCATATCCTATCCTTTCTTATCCCTCTTGTCATCATCACCCCCCCATTTTTTCCCGCATACTCCTCCTCACTTGGTTCTTTTCCCCACAGCAATTGTATTTCCTTTTAGTACTTTTTATACTTGTCTGCACATTTTGTATACCTTAATAAAAACTATGACTGGTAAACAAAATTTATAAAAAAAGTTTCAGGCCACAGCAATGCCCTGGAAGCCACATGTGCAGGAAGGGAACAGATATTGATTCAAATGGGACAGCTATAAAAAAAAAAGGGCAGAGGATTGAATTCTTCTTGCAGTATCTAACCCAAAATGTTGAACTGAAATGCAGCCAACACTGCCTGACCACAACAAATCAAAAAATGGTATGTGTGTTCCGATATATTGCAGTGTGTTGCCCTCTACTGTACAGTGTGTTGGGGTGCAATTCACAACAACTGGCACCATAGTGCACCGCACATAAAGTAGGTGCATTGCCACCAGTTTTTACAGAGCAAATTTGCAAAGCACAGGCATGAATAAGGCCTCTGGATTTTTACATGAAGGAGGGCAAAACTCAGTCATTTGAGGGGGAGACAAAATAGCCTTAGCTTAGGTGACACAATGATGTCTTATACAGAGATAGTTTAATTCCTTTGGGCTTATCTCACCATAACCTATTGGTTGTCCTAAAATATAAATACAATTGCCCACTTTTATACCCAGCATGCATAGCTACAGAACTATAGAATGTGTGGCTTTCAATACAGAAATGAAAAATTCAATCAAGCCAAATCAAATTCCAACCAAGCCAAAGGGTTTTTTTTTTTTTTTTTTTTTTTTTTAACACTGGCAGATCTCAAAATGTGTGCGTTTGTCATTCCTACCCCTATATACAATAAATGTCATAACCTGTAAAACTGCAGACCTTGGAATGTCTCTATTAGTAATTAGTATCTATGGAGCTTTTTTATTTATTTTTTTAAAATCGGTCCTCAGAGACTACAAACAATTTTTCCCAGACACTTGCACAGATGATTTCAATAATCCCAATATAGGAGAAGTACTTAAAAGAAGTACAGCCAAAGCTCTTTTGGCTGTACTTCTCCTGTGGATCACAGGAGTGTAGTTCGATCTACACTCCTGTGACCTGTTCTCAGCTGACAGCAGGTAGAAATCTGCAGTCGGCTGACGTCACTCAGCCAGTCCAGGCTGGGTAAAGATCCTGATTTCAAAGTCGGGATCTACGCCAGAGTCTGGAACGGCACCTGGCTCAGCCTCTCAGTGAGGCACTGAGAGCCTGAGTCAGCTGCTCCCTCTTGCGCCACAGCCCAACTCTCCACTGAGCGCTGGGGGGCAGTGCAGACAGTGGTGACTGACAGTCACCGCTCTCTGCTTAGAGCGGCTGTAAAAACTCTACAATGATGTGATCACGGAGTTCTCACACTTAAAGCCAGCAGGGGACAGATGCAGCATCGGACCGATGCTACATCCACCTAGGCAAATATAAATGGGAGAAAAAAAAAAATAAAAATCCCTACTTCGCTTTTAAATCATTTCAACTGTGGCCCACCTGAAACTACCTGGAAATATGACCTGTTTATGGTCCCTCTCGACTGAGAAACACTGGTATAGATTACTGAATGCACTGAAGTCTCCAAATACATATACACAGATTATGCACAATAGCATAGGATAAAGACATATCCTTATGCAGCAAGACAATTTTATTTTCTAAATGATTTTCTAGACTGGAGCTGACCAATACCCCACATCCTCATCTCACATCTCTGCCTTTTACCTGGTTTGATCTTCATGACAACAGTCTTTCTGTTCTGATCTCTCATTTGCTTGATATCCAGCAAGTCATGTGGATTTCCATTATGACGAGGCCAACAATAGACAAATATACGTGACCCGCTGCTTCCACAATCCACCACTACGCCATAATTAAGATTGGGGTTGTTGGTGTCTGTGGCTTCCATGTCGGTAACATGAGCCAGATATCTGCAGGGAAACAGACATTTAAATTACAAGTTGTTCTTACTGCTCATACATACAACTCTTACAATGATGCTCCTCCATAGATACAGTACAATAAATGTGCGTTGTCCCCCTTGGACAGAAATGTGTTAATGGTTGGATAGGGTGAAAATAAAGCAAAATAAACAAAAAAAAATAAACTGAAAAAAATACAGCCATCACATCTAAGGACTGGTAGGATGCAACATATTAACATTTTTACACCTGGGGTTAGATATGTGTCAAGTCTGTCTAAAATAAATAGGGCAGGCATAGCAGTGACGCACTCTCACTACTTAGCAGAAAAAAATCTGCATTAAACAGAATAAGATACCCATGTTTGAAGTGGCAAAAGGCCAAAAATCAACCAAATAGGTTTGAGAAAGGATAACATTAAAGGAAATAATAAGCATGGGCTATGACATCAGATGGTGGTTTAGTAGATTAACCAGTATGTCTTTGTTCTCAAAAAGTTAATATTTACATGAGGTGATTAATACGGTTTATTCACTTTTAAAAAGGTCAAGAAAATGTTCAATGCAGGTTCAGTTACAGTAAAATGTCGCTCCAGGCAAAAATGAAAAATTATCCTATGCAAGGTTCAAATAATATATGACCATTTACAATATGTGTCTTTATCATAGGCTACGTGATTATAAATCCATTACCTGGTGGTTCTGCCAATTTCCTGCTAATTTCTTTTGAAAGGGTCAACAATGCTATTCAAATGGCTGATCCCCAAAGCACTGTTGAACTTGGAACCTGTGCGGTTTCTTTATGCATACACAAAGAGTTGGGCACACTGGGTGCTTTATGAGGTGTACATGCGCTGTAATTATTTAGGACCTCTGGTACTGCTCAGTCTGGAAAGGCACACCTACAGCTCCTTCTATACTCATTTTGGCTTTCAGAAGAGGTGGAGAGCTGTGAGTTCATAGTTCCATTTGCATGTAAAATAAATTTAGCCATTTTAATAAAAACAATTGAGTACTGTCCGTGATACTTTTTATTTGCACCAACATCCAAATTTTCTTCAAGGTCCAAGTACTACTAATACACAAAATCTTAGCAGGATGTTAAGTAGAACAATCTGAGAAAAAAAAAAAAAGGCAAAAAAAAAAGAAAAAAACACAAACATACACAGCATGGGTAACCACTTGTACATATACTGAAGGTGGGTGGCACAACCAGACTAGGTGACATACCTGTATGTCACCGCCAGGCTTCCGGGTTTCGAGTGCGTGTGCAAATTCCCCCTGCTGTGATTGGCTGTGTCCAATCACAGCACAGAGTTCTGTGATTACAAAACACGTAGAACTCTGTGTAGAAGAGTGATCTGGCTGTTTCTTCTTCCTGAAAGGCTGGGAGAAAAAACAGCCAGATCTGTGAGTAAAAGCAGCACACATTACACTTGTTAGGCACACAGAAAACCCTTTGATTGCCTCTAGATGTTAACCCTTTCCCAGCCAGTGTCATTAGTACAGTGTACAGTATTATATCTGATTACTGTATTAGTGTCACTAGCCAGTGTCTGTTAGTGCCAGATTGCCCGCCAAGCTATCACAATCCCGCTATAAGTTGCTGATCAACGCCATTACTAGTATAGCATCTTCAACTGCAAAAATTCTAGTGTATATACCATAGTTTTAGACACTATAATTTTCACATAAACCAATTAATATACACTTATTGGGTTTTTTTTTAACCAGATGTAGCAGAATACATTTTGGCCAAAATTTATGAAGAAAGTTTATTTTTTTTTTATCAGATACATTTTATAACAGAAAGTAAAAAATGGTTTTTATTTTCGTTAATAAAAAAAATAAAAACCCAGTGGTGATCAAATACCACCAAAGGAAATCCTTATTTGTATGAAAAATAAAATTATATAAAAATTTCATTTGGGTACAATGTTGCATGACCACACCATTGCCAGTTAAAGTAGTACAGTGCTGAACAGCAAAAATACCCTGGTCATGGTCATGAAGGTCCATGTAGTCAAGTGGTTAAACTTGGATAGTTAGTAAGATAAGGCAAAACCAGGGCCAGAGGCAGTCACAGTTACAGAGATGGAGGTGGAGGGGTCATATTAGTGTCGGATATTGATTTATAAAATCAAGGTCAATTACATCCAGTAATGTTGTGCACCGCATTCAATGCAAAAAAAAAAAAATTAAAAAATCCAGCAAACGATCTTCTGTTTCTGAAACAGGAGATAAATCGCAAACTAAGATGAAATGTGTAAATATGATGAATTTACACAGAAACACCATCAAGGAACATAAGGAAGATGGTTTCTGCACACCTGTGGGACATCATTTCTCACAATCATACATGAATGTTTTAGTTTTTAAAAGGGAAGTTCAAAACTAATCAGGAAATGAAAACTTTTGAACTAATATGATGATAATTCTATTTGCAAAAAAAAAGAAAATGGACTTAATGTGGACCTTGGTTTTCGAAAATCGTTATCCAACAGGTTTACGACCCCTCACCTATGTGACTGTTACCCCCCTTCCCCTTTCCCCCGCTTGCCCTCTCCCTGCCTTACCAACTATCCAAGTTTAATTACCATAGCTGTGTATGTTTGTTTGTGTTTTCTCAGAGATTGTCCTGCTTAACGTTCTGCTAAAACTCTGTGTATTAGTGCTGTTTGGACCTTGAAGAAGGCGGTACACCCCAAAATTTTGTCCTGAAAATTTGGATGTTTGTGCAAATAAAGTATCAAGGACTGTACACAATTGTTCTTGTTGCAAATGCACCAATACTATGACAATCACCTCAAAACGCTTTAATAAGAAATATGTTTTACCTTTGATATTTCCTGTCCCGTTGGGATCGGCTGTACTTAGTACGAACTAGAAGTAAAGAGTAGAACAGCAAGAAGAGGATGGCAGCCACTACACCAATTATGACCAACTGGCGTAAGGTAGTATTCAGAGCACGCGGGCACCCACCGGGAGATAAGCTAAAGTGCCAGGAAGCCGGAAGGAGACAAGATATGCTGATCCTGGAGTGCAAAGGAGATTTACACTGTTAAAACAGGTACAAACTGAATAAACACCAGAAAAAGATTACATCAGTGTGAGAAGAAATATAAAAGCTCAGTTCACATTATTCATTTTGTCAGGGGATTTTCCTGTGAAAATAGTTGTCACGCCATCTACTGTGAAAATAGCTGGTTTCTACACAATGATCACATTTAAAAGTGGATCTGTCAGTGACAACTTTGCATGAATAAATTCCTGACATGTTGCAAAACACAGCAAAAGTATGACATTTCAAGCAAGCTCCACCTATTATAAAATTATATAAACCGGAGAGGTTATCAGTTTGCTGTAGGAGGAAGCAATTCCTCAGTCGCCTCCTCCCCAGTGATCGGACTGCAACACTGTAACTTTGTCACAAGCCACAGTGAAAGGTTGCAGTAAAGGGCTGATCTGCGTTACACATTTCTTTAGCACAGCCACCAGGACTTGCAGTACTGTCATCTCTGATAGAATCTCAGTCCAGAAAGAAGATGTTGACCTTGGATGATGTCTGAACAAAAAATGTCACCTTCCTTCTTTGTAAGAAAAAAACAATTAAGTAATCGTCAGGGGGAGTGCTGTGATATCTATGGGAGATAATACCTACCTGGAATGTTACACCTACACATTACTTAGTACTTAGCAAGAAAAAATATCTAGACCTAGGCCCACTTTAAGCTCTTGGCACCGGTGATACACAAATATGCAGCCTCTCGGCAGGTGGACCTTGACGCATATTTGCATACCAGAAACGTGCCAAAAGCATGCCCCCGACACAGTTACAAGAGCATATTGGAAAGCTTTCCGATCATGTGATTACTGTGAGAGCCAATCATGTTGGTCACGTGATCATAAACCCCCGGCCCCCCAACACCACAAACCCCTTAACCCTTTGAGGACCATAAGATTAGGGAACGCCAAAAGAATCAATTTTTTGTTTGTAAAGTTCGTACACTTCAGTTGCTGTAACTAAGCCATTTCATGAAATAATTGGCAAAAAGCTAGATCCATTTGTTGATAAGAACTAATATTTTGACTCAAACCAAAAAAAAAAAAAAGGAGTTTTTAAGTTCTTAATCAGATGATACAGGCAATTAAAAACATGGGACAAATACGTCCCTTGGTCCTCAAAGGGTTAAAGGGCCGGGAGGCACTGAACCAAGGGATTAAGATCCTCCTACACCTATGCGAAGATCAGTGGTCTCCAAACTGCGGCCCTTTGCTTGCCTTTATCTGGCCCTTGGGACACTGTTCTCCCTCTGACATCAACAATGGAGTTTATATCCTCTCAGTGAGACCAATGATGGAGCATAAATTCTTCCTTTGACACCAAAGATGGAGAACTATTCCTTCCACTGACACCAACAATGGGGCATTATTCCTTCCACTGACACCAACAATGGGGCACTATTCCTTCCACTGACACCAACAATGGGGCACTATTCCTTCTACTGACACCAACGATGGGGCACTACTCCTTCCACTAATACCAATGATTGGGCAATATTCCTCCTCCTAACCACAATGTACAATGCAATGTAAATATTTTTACTCCTACCGACCACCAAGCCTTCTGCATTTTCTACTCCCACTGGCCACAGTCTGCCCCCCCTCCCTAAAGTCTGAAGGACAGTAAATTGGCCCTTTGTTTAGAAAGTTTGGAGACCCCTGGTGTAGATAGAAATGTGTGTATTCTTGAATTTTATGCATGCTTTGCTGGTTTATTCAATACGCAAAGTTAGGAAGAAAAATTCAGAAATTGAATTTTCCACAGTGCAGATGTATTGATATTTGCACTAAATGACATGATGTATGTATCACTGGACCTGCTTAATGCACAAAAATGCAGCATATCCTATATTGTAAAAACACCCTATTTTGGGTTGTCACGAGAAACAGGAATAGAGTGAAAATCTTCAAATTGCGACGCTAGTTCTGGTGATGATGAGCAGGGATTCCTTCACTTCCTGCTTTGGCTACAGGATAGGAAATGAAGGGAAATCTCACCAATGGGACACAGATAAAACAACTGACAGGGGTTCTAATAACCCTCCCTTACCCTTATATGTTATGCTATTGCTCACTACTGTATGCACAATCTGTGAAGGGGGAGAGAATCCTGTGACTGATCAGACTCCTCTCCATTCACTGATCTTGTAATAGGCAATGTAATCAATGAGATAACTTTTCTCAAAGAAGGAGAGTCGAAAACTTGTGTCCTTCTTGGATTATCTTTAGTGCAAATGTGAGCCCAGAGACATAAAGCTGTTAACCTCCAAAATGCTGGAAGTTCAGCAGCAGGAAGAGGACAGAATAGCCATGCACTGAAGATTTCTACAGAACCCAGCTGCCTGCACATCGAGGGGCATACTTCATTACCGGTAAATACTGTAAGTGAAGCTGTAGAAGAAAAAAAAAATCTAAATGTTAGTTTTAATGACTTGTAGACTTGTAGTGTTTTGAGATAACTGCTGACAAAAATGACTTTGGCATGTAAAACAAGAAACATGCATGTAAAACAAGAAACATAAATATACTTCAACTGTGTATTTGGCCTTTTGCCTGGAATTTAAAGTGGTTTCGAACCCTTACATATACCCAGTGAAGAGACTGGCCTCAGGTGACACACAGAGATGAAACAAATCCTCCTACAAAAATGTAACCTGTTTATCTGCAGTCTCCTCTACAGCTGTTCAAAGTGCTGAATTTATACATTTTCTGAGCTAGTCTGAGCTGTCAAAAACAGGAGTGGAGAGCTGAAGCTACACTCTGCAGAGCTCAGTGAGGAGAGCTCTGAGAGCTGACTGGAGGGAAGAGACACACCCCATTCACACAGCACACAGGAACAGCAACAGTCAATCTGCTGGAGGTCCCTTCCCTGTCACCATTTTTCTCTTGGTGTCAGGAAAGCTTGTCAGAAGTGATTCATGCTGATAGCAGAGGAACCAAGCAGCAGACAGAAATGACACTTTATGCTCTAGATTGAGACAGGTACACACTATTTGAACTATGCTTTGTTCAAATTTCATGTCTGAGGCTTACAACCAATTTAAAGCGGAGCTCCACCCAAAAGGGGAGGTTTCGCTTTAAGGACAGCTCCCCCGCTCCCCATTAAGGATTGGCACCTTAGAGGGGGGGGGGGGGGGAGTGGGTACCCGAATTTGACAAGTACCGGCTCCCAATTGCGGTCAGGCCGCCTAAGCGATCAGTGTCCTCCCTCCTTCCCTCACCGTGGTCTTCTGGGACACGTGACAGGTCCCAGAAGACTACAGGACCAGTTATGAAGCGCAGCGCTACTCACGCATGCGCAGTGGGTACCCGGCTGTGAAGCCGTAAGCAGTCACAGCCGGGTGCCCACACTGAAGATGCCGGCCTCCAGGAATCCAGGATGGCAGGTGAAACGGGCTGCGGGGGACACACCACGGGACCGAGGGACAGGTAAGTGGCTGTTTTTTAAAAGTCAGCAGCTACAGTTTTTGTAGATGCTGACTTTTATTTTTTGACAGGATGAGTGGAACTCTGCTTTAAGGTTGCACTGTAGGCAAACAGTTATATACACCTTTTAAATACAAATATGAACAGTTCTACCTTTGATCAAAGAATTTGACTGATTGGATAATGAAGGGTTAGTGGCAATGCAATGAGTTGTCATTCAGCTCTCTCTCTCTGCCTGTTAGTGTGCTCACTGACATCCCAGGTGTTTTGCAGTAACTTATGTCTAGATTCTAAGGCCAGTCCTCCCCCAGGGTGAGTGCTGCTGTACACAGGATTATAGGAGGCTGATATCAAGGCCTATTCAGGTACTTACACTGTGAAGTGCAATGTATGCATACAATAGCTTTCCTTGCTCCTGCACTACCCCCTGCAATTAAACATTTTCAATTAATTTGTTTATTTTTCCAGAAATGCTCATGGCTCAGTGAGATCATTTCTGGGTTTGTCTGCTGGTTTGGCAAGAGGGGCCAGAAGGCTCCTGTTAATGCCACAGCACCCTACTTCTGGTCATCTTTCATTCCACTGTTCACCCACTGTTTTCCAAGAACACATCTCTGAAATCACTTTATATGTGCATGCTTCTGTCTGTTGGCTACCGGGTGCTGCAGACTTACAGTGTAATAAAGAAACTGATCAGCAGATTGCACAACTAAAGTCTGTATCACTCAGTGGCCAGAGAGCATGCATGTCTAAAGGGATCTGGGGTTGTTCTTTTTCCATAGAATGAAAAGGACGAACAAAAATAGCTGATGACAGAGAAAGATGAAAGAGAAAGCTATTAGATGTGAGAAGCAGGCCAAAGACAGTAGGGATCAGGAGTAAAGGAGACTGGCAAGTGAAGTTGTTCAGACAGGAAATGAAGGCAGGCACAAGATAGCTGCTACATCTTTAATTGATTATATTGATGTAAGTTTTCAGGTAACAGAGTAATGTGTTTCAACGCAGGATAGAATTAGCTACAAGTTTGCATAAAAAAAAAAATTAAAGCTGGAGTTAAGTCTTAAAAGTAAATATTATTTTTATTAACTGCATTCAATGATATTATTTTACTTGATTTTATTTTTATTTTAAATGTTTATTTTTATTGATTTTATGTTGTTTTAAAAAGTAAAAACTGGCGAAGAGTTGCCTTTAGGAGTCCCTGACGGACAGCTGTCAGCTAGTAATCATCTAATGTAGTAACACTAGTCTTGGCTTTCAGAGTTAAACATTTTTTTTTACTAATGGCTGGTGAACGCAGACACTGATTGCAATAAGTATCAACATTTCATATTGTCCCTAGTGCCTGAAGTGCTTATAATTCAAAACTATAGGATTATTAAAATGTATTAACAGTAGCAAAGCTTTCTTGTATCAGAGCACTAACACAGAAAGAGTCATACTGTATTTGATTTTTTATTATGATATCTTATTCCTGGCATGCACCCACCATGGTCCCATTCATTAATAAAGTACTCACCGCCCCATTTTGGAGACTTATCAGAA